GCTTTGCTGAACTCGGCCAAAATCGCTTAGGCGGTTACAGCGCCAAAAAAGAAGAAGAGTAAGAAGACATTATTACCTTTTCAAAAGCGAAATAAAGTCAACAAAAATTTGGAAATAAAGCCATTGGCGCTATTTCCTCACTAAAGTGGAAATAGCGTCAACAATGTATTATCGCTGAAAATTACACTTGCCGGTGACAGGTCACAAGATCAACGGAAATAAGGTCGATTGACTTTATTTCCCACCCTTGTGCGAAATAAAGTCAATTGACATTATTGCCTTTTCAAAAGCGAAATAAAGTCAACAAAAATTTGGAAATAAAGTCATTGACGCTATTTCCTCACTCAAATGGAAATAGCGTCAACAATGCTTAAAGTATGTCGATTCATAGAAAAAAATGTTGTTCTTACAATAAACATTGCCCCGTAAGTGTTGTTTTTTAATAGATGAAAAAGGTGATTGCCAAATCCTCAGTGTGGTGCTATTAATCCACACACAATCATGAACTACCACAAATGGATTTTATTAAAAAATTTAAGTCACGAATATAGTAAAAACACGATGTGAAAAACCAAACGCAAAACGCAGCTGGAATACGAGAAATATTTGAAGAAAGAGTGTAGTTATGATCCAGAACTACCAATACATGTTTTGTTTCCACAAAAAAAAGCGAACACTATTAAATTAAAGAAACAGTCCATGTCCAAATACCCCGGAGGAACACTGTGTTTTAAATTAGCATATTTTGAATGAATTCGGAATGTCTAAGGTGTAAAAGAAACCAACCTTCCTATAAGGAAACAATTATAGAAAAGGAATTTTTTTACACTATGTTCATGTCTCCGCCAGCAATTTGTGACGATATCATTTAAAAGCAGCTAAGGAGAACGACGACACTATTAATTAGATGGCCAAGCCAATGTGCCAAAATGCGGATACAAATAATTATTGATTATTTAATCAAATAAAACACCTCTTTGAGGTAAAATTTTCAAGTGACGAAAGCTGAACTAGAAACACAAAATTTATGATATCAATTTCGTGACGAAAATTATACGCATTTTTTAACTGCCTTTGAAACGTACGGAAAATCTTTTTTATTCATACGAATCGCTGCACATAGGGGTATTTCGCCGATTTATGCGGCCAAAATTATTTTTATGAATATTTCATCTCAAAATGTTTAGAAAAGACGTGTTTTGACATATAGAATTGTAAATGTTTAAAATCAAGTAAATATAGGTTAAAACATTAACAGAGTTGTCACCTGTTAAAAAATGTTGTTCAACTAGTTAAATGAATTGCGGCAATATGGGTATCAATGGAAATGGGTTTGAAAAGGCTTTATCTCTAAGCAACCTCCCAGCGTTGCCACCGGTTTAAAAAATCAAACTCAACTTTAATTTAAGGAATTAGATAATTCAAATATGTAACACAGTATAGGTAAAAAATGGATGTATTCGAGGTGCAATTAATGCGGCAGTGTTACTCTTTACTTCACTTTCCAGCCCGACGTTCCGCTGACCTTCTCAGCATCTTCAGGGGCGATTTCTTTATTAAAAACAACAACAAGAATACATACAAACAGATCGTCAGTTGCGAACATAATGAAAAAATGAATAAACTACATGTATAGGTACACAGGATTAATTGGACTCATATGAAAAAACACAATTTTTT